GGTGAATTCGGTCACATTTCAGGGTACTTCTCACATTTCAAAATAAATTTAATTAAATCTTTTTAAAATCAAACAAAACTATATATGTATAGCGGAGACTGAGGAGGAAAGTAACAACGCTTATATCTTTTAAACAAATTAGCCGATATACAAAGTTTAAATATTTAAATCAGTAGTGCCCCCTTCAACTTGTCCATAGTGTGCAAGAGCATTTCTGGTTAGGTTAGGTCCGTTAGTGATATGACGTTACAAAAATAAGTCAAAAGTAAGTTTTCGTTTAAATTTTCAATGCTTCATATTTTTTTAATTACACAGTCTTATAAAATGTGCTTTTCGTTTTTTGTAGCTTAATTATCTGTCTTTAAGTTGTAATAGTGTATTTTTAAATTATGTGTAATACTTTTGTGTAATTTAAACTTTTTTTTTTTAAAAAAAGTGAGAAAGAAAGTATGGAAGGTTTATTAAATACTTATTGAAGTATAGAAAAAAAATTTTTGTTTACATTATATAACAAAATGGCGGCGGTAAATTTTTATTTTAAATTTATTCTCATCGCGATTTTTTTAAGTCCTTATATGGGTCCCCTCAAGATGTACCTGTTAGATATGAATTTTAATTTATTTAATAATAATTTAATAAATCTTTATCACAAAAAAAAATCCACTTTATTTAATTGGAAAAATTACTTTTATCAATTAAACAAAGAATTGAAATTATATTCAATTATCCTCAGGAAACGTATTTGCACTTCGGAAATAAAATATTTTAAAGGTAGTGGATCCCTTTCTTAAGTCCGCTATTATTCAGCGGCTCCGGTTAGACGGTATTTACTCGAGTATAAAGGAAGAAAAGATATATCGTAATAGGTGTAAAATTTCAATAAAACACTTTTTTATACAGTTAAAATAATATATGGTTTATTATTAATAATTGTGTATCTGTTTTAAACAAACTGACATTCACGATTTTATATGTTTGTTATTAATTACAAATTAATAATGATAATCTATTTTTATGCGCAATATTATGCAAATCAAGAAAACTGTGTATTTGTATAGAATGTGTAGTATGTTTGGACAATATTAAGTCAACTCACCAGAACAATTATATTACTTTTAAACTTATTTCAGAAAAGTATCAGATTACTTCCTCCGACGAAGCATTTAATATACACCTGTTTGAGATTAATATTCCAGTATCCCAATTTATTTCCTTGGTCGCCTTCTTATTCAGATGTCACTTTTATATATTTATATTATTTGAAAATTCCACAATGAAAATAAATTCCCTTTTTTTTTATTCGCTGATTTTATATGATTGAACAAATATTTAAAAATCGGGGTCACCGAACTTAAATTTTTATTCAATTGATTTATTTTAACTTCACTTTACTTTTTAAACAATTACTTTTATATCAACTTAATCACGCCAAATAATATAGAAACCGAACTCAAATATCTTAATTCAAGAAAATACAATATTCTTAAAAAACCTTATGAAAAATATATGTAGATATATATATATATATATATATATGATTGAAAATAAAACTCTCAATTCCCGAGAGCAACAAAGTAAATATACACAACTTTGTTGCGGGAGGAACCAAGTCAAACTCAATCGTTAAATCAGTCTAAATCATGGACGCACCTTAAAATTTCATAAAAATGTTAATAGTGGGGAGGCTGTTGCACACAGCCCATTGAACTTCTTGTTGCGAGGCAAGCTTTTTGCAAGCTTGCAAATTCCTTTAATGGCATGGCATGAGTTCAATGATTTCTCACCACAGTAGTTTCACTTGTATGTGTCTTTTATTTAAAATATTTGACATCAATACATCTGAGTTTTTCGATGAAAAACAAGCTCTTTGGAAACTGTAATGAAATTCATTTTGAAATATGGGTATTGTCCGTGACTTTCGCAATAATTTTATAAAATTGACATATCCAAATAATAATGAAACCAAGGAAGTTTAATGAGAGTTACTAATTTAATAGAATTGAAATTAATAATCTTGCGACGATGATAGGTTGTTTTGTCTGCCCTTTTAGTGTTTGTTGTATATGTGTACTTAACCTAATTACAAGATTCCCAATTTTAATGAGGCTATATAATATAAATAATTTTTAATTAATAAAAAAAATTAAAAATAGTTACGAAGTCATACGTAACAAATACCCCCCTTTTTTCTGGCTGACGTCCCTTGGCAGCTTTATGTTGAACATATAATTTTGTGAGATTTACATATAATCCTCCTTTGAATGGTTTTACAATATTTAAGTTGTTGGTTTTGCTGAAAATAATGGTTTTTAAACAGAGGCAAACTTTTAGTTGTAATTTTATATCAAAAATTCGTTTCCTCTTTTTTTTTGTTTTAGGAAGATTTTTAAATAAATGAAGTTTGCTTTTGTTTTATTAATAATAATAATAATAATAATAGTCGGAAATTTTTCGTTGTTTAATGACAAGTAATTTTGTATTTTAAGTCATTAAGATCGAGCATGGAAAAAAAATGCGCTTGAATATGTGATTTTAAACTTGCTTTTTCTTTTAATTGAGTTACTGAAAACCTAAAACTTACTTTAATTACTGATATATTATTGCATTTTTTACCAGGCTAGATTTTATTTGTCTTGTTTCGGTGTACAATGATGTTTCTTTCTACGAAAAAAAATTTAAATAATTTAATTGGTGATGTCTGATTTTTTTAAATGTTAAAAAAAAATTATTATTAATTATTATTCATGCTACAATTATTTCGGATTTTAAACGTAGAATACATAGAATAGATCTTTTTGTAATGAAATGATTTCATAATGTAAAAAAACTGAATTTACTGTATCAATTTGTTTAAATTTTAGTACAATTTTTAAATCGCCTTTTTGTTTATAAAGAATTGTTCATTTCTGAGGATATTTTGTTCTTTTTAAAGAAATGTGTTGCATCGATTACAAAGTTTTATTTGTTATTTGATCTATTCTTCTTGTATTTTAGACGAAAACAAAGTTACAAGTTATTTCATGCTTTTTTTAAGAATTACTATTGTTTATATTAAATAATCTGAAATTTGGTACATCTACATGAAATGACTTTTACAAAACCACCTATGTGTCACTAATTTCTTGATTTGGTATAATAACAATGATAGATTTTAAATTTATATTAAATTTTATTAAAAAAAATTTTTTTTTTAAAACAAAAAAATATATTTTATTAATTAAACTTACATTCATGAAATTTTAAATACATTTATAAAGAACGAAAATCTAAACATGCCTCGATGATTTGTGTCGGTTCCGAATATTGCAAAATTTTAAAGAAATAATGTCAATTTTTATTGGCTGACATTGTTTCTTTAATATAAGTTTTGCAGGAAATCATTTAAAAAAAATGACAAGCAATAATTAATAAAATTTATGCATACATGGTGCATAAAAAAATGAAAATTTCTGATTTTCTACCCCTATACCCCCCTTTTTATGCGCTGTCGTCCCTTGACAGCTTCATAGGTTGACTAATAGAAAAACTTCTTAAATAGAGGCAAATTTTAATTAAGTTTTGCTAAATGGTTATATCTGTCACTTTCCTTTTTAGGAGGATTTTATTGTAAATAAAAATAATTTGCTTTTACTTAATTTTTCTTACAGTGTACGTGATACATTTTATAAGACGAATTTGCTTTCGATAAATGTAAATTAAAGACTTTTTTTTCTTTTTTATGAAAAATGATTTTGTTACAAATTTATGTATTTAATTATGTTGTAATATTTAAGCATTTCTTTTTTTATTTTAAAATTTTAAATATAATTTGAGTTTTCGAAATTTGAGTTTAATAAAGTGCTGAGATTGCTTTTATTGTTTTATGTGTTATAATTTTGCTTCTTAGACATTGTGTATATTTTGATAATTTATTTCGTTAAAATATTATTTTTAAATTTATCAGCTATAATTTTTAGAGAACGAGAAATAATAAGAAATATATATTTTCCATTTAAATTACATAAAAGTGAATGAGACATTTTAATATTCTATTCAGGCATTTCTTTCAATGTTTATATCCTACTGACCTAGTCACCTGAAGTGTAACCTGATACGGTGTCGCGTAATCAAGTTCGTACACCTAATTTTAAACATTTTCTGTATATTTTGTTTCAAATATTTATTTTTGTATTTATGAATAGTACTGCGATAGAACTTTTTAATAAAATCAATTCATGAGTTAACGTTATTTTTTTTGTATATAATAATTAAGTATTAAAAACATTATAGCGTGGATATAAAAAAATTAAACTTTGCAAAAATTTCAAATTGAAATCCTTGAAAATCCAAATTTCTGTTATACTTTTAGACGATAGCTCTAAAGAATCATTTCTTTAAAAAAAATTCAATTAAAAAAAAATTGAATTATTTTAAATCTCTTTGATTTCCATATTTATTTAACAGATTTTTTTAATGATTGGAATTTTGTAAAATTTAACTATAAACTCTAGTTATAAAAAAAAATCTTGTCTTTTTTTTTTTTTAAAATAACTTTTAAAAGAAGTTACTTACTTTAGAAACGGTTCATAGCTAAAATTGAGTAAAATGAAAGATGGAAATGATGAAAATAATTTGAAGGATTCACAATGGCAATCTTTTCATAATATAAAATAAAAATTCTACGTCTAGGTTGACTGTAACTATTGTGAATTCTTAGATTTTTAAAACATTTGTATGAACCTTTTTTTTTAAATTTACATTTCTAAAAGAAAATAGTAAAGTAGAGTGGGACGAAAAATATCTGAAGTTTATACAACAATTATTAAATCGATTTATCCAATTAACAAATAAATTTAGAAAACTATTTTGTTTACTTATTTCAAGTATATATATAGAAAAATATTTAAGAAAGAAAGAAAAGAGAAGGAAAAAAAAATTATAGTAATATACTTATTTATTTATATATGTAATTAAGAAAAAAAAGGAAAGAAAAAAAAATGAGTGAAAAAAAAATGGAGATGTAATTAGATCGTGTGCGTCCGGTTTTGGTTTTCCTTTTTTTGTTCTCACGGTTAAAATTTGCAACTTTGCAAATGTGTTTTGTTGAAATATATGTGCTTTTTGTAATATTTCTCAGTTTCTGTTCGTCAGTTGTTGTGATCTGTTTTACGTTTTGTTGATTCGTGAAGTTAAAAAAAAACGAGAAAAAAAATGGCCGGTGTATATAATTTAGATGTTTTGCGTACTGCTCTGGATCTTGTGAGCAATAGTGTTGATGGTCTTCTTGCATATTTGAAGACAAAATACCTGGCCGAGGAGGATAAAAAAATTAAATCCGGTGTCTTGGGGTACGTATTTGTTTATATTCGTTTTTTTTATCATGTATTATACTAAAATTTGCATGAAAAGGATTGCAGATTTTCATCTGTTTGTGTTTTTAAAGTGTTGCGTTTTTTATTCAATTTGAAAATATTAAAGTTTCAATAAATTTTGCTGTTTTTGAATACAGGCGTTTTAAATGTTCTATAATGAGAGTGTAATATTTGTTATAATTTTTTTTGAAATTTAATAAATTTTAAAAATTAATAGTGTTAAACTTGATCTTTTATGTTAGTGTTATTTATGTTACAATAGTGTCATTTTTATTTTGATGTTTTCTTTTATTGGTTTTATTCATGTATTTGTTTTTATATTTTTGTCATGTTTTAATTTTGGAACTAAAATTGTGTAAAAAAAAATTGTGTATATAGAAAATAAAAAAATTAATTAAAAAAAAATTTTAGGCGAGGTGTGTTCTTTTCCAATTGGGTCAATGCTGCGTCTCGGGTGGATCCTAATGGTCTCTGGCCTTGCGAGACCGCATTGTCAGAAAGTCGGAATTATGACTGTGAAAAAGCGGAATGGGTACAGGAGTACCTCTGGTGTTGGGGAGAGCGACGATATAAAGTCCGTTATTTATGGTGCCCTTCAGATTTTTTGATGCCGACTGTGTGTAATGAGTCGGAGGATGAGCTGATTGAGGAAATATTTGGATGCTTAGGCGTCAACGTGCGTACACGGTGAGCAAATTTAAAAAAAAAATAATTACCTAAAAAAATGAATTGGGAATAAAACTTTTTTGTGTGTTTTTATTTTAGATCCTTTTCGAGCTTGCCTGTTTTGCCCATTGTACGTGGTTTCCGACCAAAAAATCCAATTTTTGAATTGGTTTATGTTCAGCGATACAGGAGAGATTGGGAGGAGTTAATATTGACTTATTCCGGTTGGGAACTTGTAAGTTTTTTATGTACTTTTGTTTAATTATATATAACTATTTTCTTTTTATATATTTAATTTGTTTTTAACTTGTTCCGTTTTACAAAAACATTTTAATTTGTTATTAATTCATTGTTGTTGTTTTTTATTTGTTTCAGCGCTGGAAGTTAAATGTGTCATCTGTGTGGTTTTCCCAGTGAGTTCAGCTCGAATTAGATGTTGGTGGTACCAGAGAAAAAAAAATTTTCTTTTTTTTTTAAAATTTGAGGGTTAATATTTAGAAATGTTTTTTTTTATTAAATTGAATTTTGTTAGGATAAAATTTAGACTAATTTTTTTTCAAATTTTGATCATTAAATTTTAATTGACAGAAAGTATAAAAATTGACTTGTTTCTTTTATATCATTTTTAGTATTGTAAAAAAAAATTTTTTTTTTAAATATTGGTGTTTAGTTACCTTTTATGTATTGTTGTGTATTAAAACGTACAACAACAAAAAAATATATGTATATATAAAAAAATGGTGTTTATGTTTTCTTTATTATCCTCCTTTTTTCAATGGAAAAAAATTATTCTGGAAGGAAAATGTAGTTTAGTTTTCTTGAAATAAAAGTAACAATTGTAATCAATTAAATAATTTAAAAAAACGATCAATAATTGTTTGATTAATAATTTTGTAATTAACAAATTTTTGAATTTTTTTTTATTATTATTATATATTATTTTATATTATATGTTATGTATTAAAATTTTTTTGAATGTAAAAATAATATGAAATTTTTTGTTTGTGTTATTTTTTATGTTGTTGTTATTATTTGATTTGCTCTTTTGCTGTTTAAATTCTATTTAATAAAATTATTATTATTTTAAAGAGAAAAAAAAACTATTATAACAAAAATGCTTTACATTAATTGTATGCATTTATTGTTTTTAAAAAAATTGTTAGTATATCTATATACTGGCTACTATATATAGATATACCAACTGTTTGATTCCTTTCGTTTTTCTTTCTCTCGTTCATCATATTCATAGGTGCTCCGCTTGTTTCGTTTTTATCACGAGACAATGCTTTGCTCCGTACACCTTTACTCCACTTCCTTCTATTCGTTTGGCTCCCCGCTTGTCAGCTACCGCCATGAAGCAATGCATGAACCTATGCTTCTGTCTCTTTCTATTTTACTTTTCTCGGCTCTCCGGCGTTTCACCACTACTTCAGAGTACCTACAAGCTGAGTATTCTTATTCCTAATGAATTTTAATTTATGCCTATCTAATAGAATATATATCAAAAATTTTATTTATATTGTTAATTTTTTTTTGTTATGGTGATTACTTCCTAACAAGCGAAATTCAAATAAATTAACCCATATAACCCTTATAATAATTAATAATAATTATAATAATTAACCCCTTATAATGTTCACAAAATTCTATTTAATTTTTCTATCTCATTTAATCAAGTAATAAGTATAATAAGCTATTATGTATTTTTTTTATTATTATTTACTGTACCCATATTTTAAATTAATTGATTTACCCATGTTTATTATATAGTTCGTTTATGATATTTAAAGGCCAGCAAAAAAAAAGCTTTCCTACACTTAAACAATACCCAACCTATTGAAAAGAACTTTTGTTCCTACTATTTTAGGTATTGTACATTGTAGTAACTCATTTTCTTGGAATCTGCAAACTGCTTCCTTTTTCCAATTTGTGTCAAGTAAAAATTTAATCCAAAAGTATTTTTGATGTGTTCCTAATAATTTCTTGTGTATTGAGATATAATATTTCACCATTTCTGAAATTTCTTGATTTAGGCTTTTAAATGAAAAAATCGTATTTGTGACGAATTCTTTAACTTCAGCGTAAGTATTTGTCGAAATGATTACGTCCGCATTTGATACTTGATTATTCCATTCGTCTTTTTTTTCTTCTTTATTTTCCATACTTAATTGTTCCGGAGATATAAATTTGATCTTTCCAGGGGGTTTTCCTTTTCTTAGTTCTGTCATTGGGCTGTCCGAATTCATACGTTCTATTAGTGAATATGAATTCTCCACGATTGCGATATCCTCATTATTAGTCTGTGTATTATCTAAAAGTTTTTTACTTTTCTTAATAGTTTTTTCGTTACTTTCCTGATCTGATTTTATCTCATTTAGTCCACGGTTAATTTTAGATTTTGAAATATCATTGTCTTCTTTTAAAATGTCGTTAATAGCACAAGTATAGTTTTCTAATTCGTCTTCTTCCTTTAAATCTATTGTAAAGTTGCTATTTTCCGAACCAAGATTTTGTAAAGTGTCCTCCTCCATTTTTCCATCGTCTTCAAACATTTCATTGTCCCAAACAATTGTTATTTCTTTCTCAGAAAGTTCTTCAATGATGTTAATATCTTCTTCGTCATCGGAATTATTTATAATAGGATTCGTATACACCGCTATTTGTTCTTCTTCCACTGTCTTTTTTATACTGTGAGTGGTAATTTTGTCGGTGGATTCTTCTGTTGCAAGTCGTAGTTCACTTATAGAAGGTGAGATGTTATGATCCCATTGTTCTTTATCCTTTTCAAGGTTCCTGTTTGGTTGCGAATCGCTGAATATAACGGGTGGTATTATAAAATCATCAACACGTTCTCTATTAAATTTGCGTTTGTTTATAAAATAATCTCTTCTATAACAATCATTGTTGAAAGATGGTAGCTGTCGATTGCATAATCTTCTGTAAATTTCCTGTTGTTCGTTGTATCTTCTATCTCTTTCACTGAGATGAAAGTTCTGTTCATCGTTTGCATGTGTGTACTTTCTGTAATTAGTGTTATAATCTTGAAAGTACCGATCCCTGTCGTTAAAATTGTTTCTTTCATAGCCTTGTGATGTCATGTCCAAATTTTTCCAATGTTCTTCAAAATGCGTGTTCCTATTTTGGTTATTAAATTCATTACGGTCATATGTCCTTTCATCAAATTGTTCACTTTGTTGATGGTTCTGTATTTGCCATTGTTGGTCATTTGGTTCAGGATAATAATTCAGTGAATGTAGTTCATACATGTTAAATTGGTTGCTTGCATTCTGGTAGTTGTATTGATCTTCATAATTAACATCATCATCAAAATAATCAGAATCTCGATCATAATTATTGTCTTCCATCCTGTGTACATCTTGCTTAACGTTATAATTATCTTGACATTAATTTGGATGCCATTGATCTGTAGAATTATTTTTTCGATCTTCTGCTTCAAAATAATATCCCTCCGTTTTCCATCTTTCTATGTGTCCTCTTTGTAACAGTACGTCATAAACTGTTTCCATTTTTAATTTAATATAATTCAAATATAAGTAATTGATTTAACTTTAACTCAGAAAACTTTAATAAAAAAAAATTTTTTTAAACATAATGCAATAACACGATAGTTTTATATTAGCCCATTGTTGCATAATTCTGATATAATTTGTTTTTTTTTTTACAAAATTGCTTAATGCTCTAAATACTTGATGAAAAGAAAAACCTTGCATTTTTTACTGTGTCAATGCATTATTTCTGTAATTAATCTTTTTTTGAAATTAAATAAACATTTAACTAAAAAAAAAATTTCTTAATTTTTTAACAAAATAATAGCAAATAAGTTCTAATTTATAGTTTGCTGTATTTATGAAAAATGACACAAATTTTATTTGAGATTCTACACATTGTTCTCTTTAATTCTTTATTCGTTGTGACCGGCCTTGACTTGGAAATTCTACTCCGTTTTACTCGTCAGCACGTTTTCTTCCTCAATCTTGAAATTATTTTTATGTGTTATTTATTAACACATCTCAATTCATGTCAAATTATGATTTATTTATCAATATTTAGTAAATCTATTATTACATTAAAAAAAATGTATTTTTCTTTATTTTTATTTTAAACTCGAATGTTTGTTTTAATAAAAAAATCCCGTTTTACATTAACAATTCATTTTTATTCATTTTTTGAATTAAAGTTTGTAAACCAAGTAACTTTTAAATGCCAAACAATTATTATTTCAAAATAATGAAAATTCACTTTTGATTTTTCTAACGAAATCCCTATTTAATCATTATCAGTATTCGACAAATTTCAATCCTCTCACTTGTCCAAGTGGCTACACACTTCCGACAAGGTTGTTTTTTATTCGAGGAAATAAAACCGATTTATTAAGGAAACCAGAGCTTGCCGACTGCAAGGATAGTTACCGTTCCCTAAACTCGACGTTAGCGAGTTAAAAAAAATTCTAACTACCCGCACCTAACTAGAAACCCAAAAACGTAGTTTTCCTGAAATAGATAAAACACAAGAAAATATTTTATAATTATAGTACACTGCATATAATGAATCAATTCAATATTTCAATTTTGTATAATATGTGTAAGTGTATTAGTATGTATGTGATATAATTTATCTTACATTTTTTTTTATTTTTCCTTTTTTATATTTTTATAAATAAAAGAAAGAAATCCCACCGCTGCCACCAATTTTGTTAGATATGAATTTTAATTTATTTAATAATAATTTAATAAATCTTTATCACAAAAAAAAATCCACTTTATTTAATTGGAAAAATTACTTTTATCAATTAAACAAAGAATTGAAATTATATTCAATTATCCTCAGGAAACGTATTTGCACTTCGGAAATAAAATATTTTAAAGGTAGTGGATCCCTTTCTTAAGTCCGCTATTATTCAGCGGCTCCGGTTAGACGGTATTTACTCGAGTATAAAGGAAGAAAAGATATATCGTAATAGGTGTAAAATTTCAATAAAACACTTTTTTATACAGTTAAAATAATATATGGTTTATTATTAATAATTGTGTATCTGTTTTAAACAAACTGACATTCACGATTTTATATGTTTGTTATTAATTACAAATTAATAATTATAATCTATTTTTATGCGCAATATTATGCAAATCAAGAAAACTGTGTATTTGTATAGAATGTGTAGTATGTTTGGACAATATTAAGTCAACTCACCAGAACAATTTTATTACTTTTAAACTTATTTCAGAAAAGTATCAGATTACTTCCTCCGACGAAGCATTTAATATACACCTGTTTGAGATTAATATTCCAGTATCCCAATTTATTTCCTTGGTCGCCTTCTTATTCAGATGTCACTTTTATATATTTATATTATTTGAAAATTCCACAATGAAAATAAATTCCCTTTTTTTTTATTCACTGATTTTATATGATTGAACAAATATTTAAAAATCGGGGTCACCGAACTTAAATTTTTATTCAATTGATTTATTTTAACTTCACTTTACTTTTTAAACAATTACTTTTATATCAACTTAATCACGCCAAATAATATAGAAACCGAACTCAAATATCTTAATTCAAGAAAATACAATATTCTTAAAAAACCTTATGAAAAATATATATAGATATATATATATATATATATATATGATTGAAAATAAAACTCTCAATTCCCGAGAGCAACAAAGTAAATATACACAACTTTGTTGCGGGAGGAACCAAGTCAAACTCAATCGTTAAATCAGTCTAAATCATGGACGCACCTTAAAATTTCATAAAAATGTTAATAGTGGGGAGGCTGTTGCACACAGCCCATTGAACTTCTTGTGGCGAGGCAAGCTTTTTGCAAGCTTGCAAATTCCTTTAATGGCATGGCATGAGTTCAATGATTTCTCATCACAGTAGTTTCACTTGTATGTGTCTTTTATTTAAAATATTTGACATCAATACATCTGAGTTTTTCGATGAAAAACAAGCTCTTTGGAAACTGTAATGAAATTCATTTTGAAATATGGGTATTGTCCGTGACTTTCGCAATAATTTTATAAAATTGACATATCCAAATAATAATGAAACCAAGGAAGTTTAATGAGAGTTACTAATTTAATAGAATTGAAATTAATAATCTTGCGACGATGATAGGTTGTTTTGTCTGCCCTTTTAGTGTTTGTTGTATATGTGTACTTAACCTAATTACAAGATTCCCAATTTTAATGAGGCTATATAATATAAATAATTTTTAATTAATAAAAAAAATTAAAAATAGTTACGAAGTCATACGTAACAGTACCTAAAGGTATTTGCTAAATATCTTTAGTCAGATTTTTTTATATTTGTTGTTAAAGCCATAAATGCACCCTGGGGCTAAATGTTAAATGTATTTTTACATGTTGTTAAAAATATTTTTACATTTTTCGTTTTTTCGGATTTATTTGTTTAAAAATTATTTATTTTACATTAGGCAAGTACTCTGTCAAAAAACATAACCGTTCACGTGAAATAAATAAAAAAAAAATTTTCGAAATTTTTATTTATTAACTTTATAACTGTTCTGGGAGCGTTCACAAATGATGTCACGCAATTTTTCGGGATTTTAGACCCCCCTCTCCCCCCTGTCACGCAATTTCACATGTAAAAATACATTGTGTCACGTTAAGGAGAGACCCTCCCCTACCCCCAAAAACGTGACATCATTTGTGAACGCTCCCTCTAAAGCTTTTGTTAAATAAACACAGATCTTTTATTAATTAATAATTACTTGTTCACGTATACTTTAACTAATCTACTACTTAACACCTATCAAAAAATAGTTTTAGTAGGCTAGAAAAAAACAAAATTTTCAAAAAAGGACAAAACGTATTTTACGCGAAAATATCAGAAACTTTTATATTGAAAGTTGTAGAAAACAAGTCGCCCAACAATATTGATATATAAATATTTGCATCTAAGCGGGTTATATTGTCTAAAAAAATCATTTATGCAAAATTTCACTTTTCGCCCCAGTCTCCCCTACTTATAGATTTTTCAATTTGATGTAAACTCTATATTTTATAAAGAATTTACTGATAATTTTTTGGCAAAAAATTTATTATTTTTATTTTATTTTATTTTATTTTTTTAATAAAAATATTAAATATGTATTAAATTTGTGCCAAATGTGTACAATTTGTACTTTAAGTATCTTTGTATTTTTCCAAGTTGATAATAAAAATATTATAAATTTATAACAGTCTTCAAATTGTAATATTAACCATAATTCTATAATGTTTCTTTCCACCTCTGAGGTTGGAAGGAAAGTAACAAATGCAGAGGTCGTGAAAAAGGCATGTTTTGAACTAGTTTTTTGATCTGAATGTCTAATTCAAATTTAATTAAAAAGGGAAAAGTCCAAGCTTTCAATTAAGGTATTAACAAAAATTATTCGTTAAATAGTTTGAACACTACAACGAAAAAACTGATTTTTGTTACTTTCCTCCTCGGTCTTCCCTACTTTGAAAAAAGACATCCTATAGCATAACAAAAACTTAACCCAAATAAGTTAAGACTCAGAAATAACGATCAAAAAACTTAAAAATCCGAAGAACGGTTGATTACTAGCACCTCTAGAAACACTTGACCGCCTCTGATTCCATGTTGAATTCATGAAACTAAACGAAAGTTCGTTAACATAAGTTGAATTTCCAGTACTATTCACAGTATCGATATCTCCATCTTAATTGGAGTTCATAGCGTCAAATCGCTAGTGACCGACTTTACCCCGCAGTCTCCTCTACTTTTGTATTAAAATGGACATTTTTGCATGGAAAGACAATGAATAGGAATTTTATTTCGTATGTTGAATAGTAATTCAAAGTAATTGGTAATTTTTTTCGAGAGAACCCAATGGGAAATAGCCATTAGTCTACCATTTGTGAATTAATGGCCCAATATTGGGAGCCAAAATTCCATTATTGGCACCCAATAATGGACCACTAATGGTAAAATCGTGGGATGTCCACGCCGATGCCAATAATTGGCAACCATTATTGGCACATTATTGGCTGCCATTAAAAAACCAAGAATAAAAAAAAAAATTTTATTAAATTTTATTAAATAATAAATTTATTTATTTAATAATTATTTTATTTATTATTATTATTATTTATTATTACAAATATTAAATTTTTTAATTAATTATTTTATAGAAATGGTTATTATTTTCTATCCCATCGAAATGTGAATAACCCTTTCGTTCAGAGTCTAAAAATTATTTACCTCACATCCATCAGTGAAAAAATAGGAGAGGACGGGCAGAGTAAAATTCCACAAATATTCGTAAGAATGCTGCCTCCTTATATACTATTCAAGTTTCATGATAGTTGCG